TACACATGTGTGTACATGCAAAAATCTTATTGATTCTATTTTGGGGAGACCCTGATTAATAAAACAAATGTGAGGTTCTCATTTGGGGTGAAAAAAGTATCTTCTTGGAACTAGACAAAGATGATGGTTGCACAAGATTGTGAATGTACTACATGCCACTGCCTTGTACCCTTTTAAATGGTGAATGGTTAATTTTATGTTATGAAAACTTGATCACAATAATAAAGTAACGATGGAATGTTTGTAAAGCAGGCAGCAAAGACCAATATGTTATCAGTGCAATATTATTACACTCATCATGTACACTCATAGTGCATTGAGAAAACACAGCATCTGTACGACCAAGCCAAGTTCAGAGTGCTGCTATTCATGCTGCCTCTCTTCCTACTCTGATGTAAAGTCGCAAAATATTGCCTTATCCTCATGACGCAATTTCTGTTCCACCTGGAATTCATCTACATCTTGAGCTTCACTGCCTATTGCTACATTCTGGCACCTACCTTGGATGTCCCCAGAGTGCCAGGCCCTATATCTAGACACCCTTCCTATTTCCCCTGTCAGGACCCAGCTCCAGAAAAGTGGCTCAGGTGGTTGCTGTCCATAGCCCTGACCGAGCTGTTGCCAATTGACTCTGGTTTCAGCACCATGGTCAGCGACAATGAGGACACACTGCTTCTACCATTTTTTTCTGGTATCTTAGTAAATTTTCATAAGCTGAGCCTCCATCTTTGGGACTCCTAAAAAGAGTATCCCTAAAGAAGTATGATGAATAATATTCAGTCAGGCTATTAGGGTACATTGGAAAAAGGCAAGGGGACGCCAGTTGATAATGCTAATTCAAACTCTCCTCACACTCTACGTATCCTGAACAGGAACAGAATTCAGACGCTCAGGGTGCTGGTCTCCACTCAGCAGGACAATCACTAGGGTGGTCTAGGGTGTCATCTAGAGTTAGTTCTTTCCAATATACGTCAGAATACTCCTCCCAGATCAGATTTAGAGTACTATCTATAGGGTATCAACCAAAAGACAATAGGCTTGATGTTATAACAAACTGGCATCAAAACCTGGATATACCTCTTACTATCTATGTGACCTTGTGAAAGTCACTTCATCTCTCTGAGGCACACTTTGCTTTTTTATAAAAGGGCAATAATATTGGTGTCTGCTTCATAAGGGTGTTTGGAAGACTGATGATCAGAGATTATTATATTCTGACTCTCAAGGGAAGTAGGTTAGCTAAGAGGGAAGGTGCTAGACTCATGGAACCTGGGATTTGATTATAGCTCTGCTTCAATTAACTATGTGACCCAGGAAAAGTTAGCCACATGACTCTTTTTTGGCATCTATAAAATGAGGACAATGCTAGTTTTTACTCCATAGGAGTTTGCTAGGGAACTACATAATTAATACATGAGTATTATAGTTCATACATGTGATGTGCAAAGTGAAATTGCAACATGTCATTAGCACTCAGTCATGTGGGCTATTGTTACTAGTATTGTCATTATTCTCATGTGCCTATACAGAGACTAAGAAACATTGCTCCGAAATGATAGCTGTTTTATGATTTCATGTTAGGATTGCAGTGAAGATCCTTAGACAATTCATACATTCTCTGTTTTACTTTCTCAACTTTTGGATTGCAGGATTAGAGACTTATTAGCCTCAAGAAATGTAGGGATTTATTTCTTCATATATATTTTTCCAGAAAACATCTCCTGGGACTCTGATGTGGCACATCCTATGCAGGAAAACTGGTGCCATAGTAACAAGTTAGACTCAGCCCCTGCCTTGTGAGGGAAAAATACAAAATTCCCCACCACGCAAAAAGCAACATTGTGCTAGCTGGCAGTGTTCAACAAAATTGTTACAAAATAGATGAAGCAAATACCAAAGATAACTTAACTATAAGGTACAAGAAGTGTTCCTCAGCACTTTCTTGAGGCAAGTGGCTTAAACCAGCCCTGACTGTCCCACAACTGTTTCAGCTGTTCTAGAATACTATTTAGCTGATTGTACTACTAAAATCCTCATGTAGAGGAGAGTTACAATATGATTAACATAACATGGGTTACATGAAGGCACATGATGATAGTAATGTGTGTGCTGAATTTGTTTCAATGTGAACATGCGACACAATAAAAGAGCTCAGCATCACTCACTGGGAAGTGATTTACGACATCACCACGGGTAGAAAGAGTAGATCTTACTCTCCAGAGGACTCCTGTGCCACTCAGGAATGAGCACCCTGTGTAAGTAACCTCTAATAAACTCATCTAACTCTCCAAGCTGGACTTCCCTGAGTCATGCTTTGGTCTCGTGGATCCATCTCAGTGTGGAGGGTGGTTTGGGCTGATACAGCTTCAGCCCTCACCTGGCTGCAAAGGGGCAGGAAAACCAGGCTTTCCAGCCTGCAACTGGGACGGTGCCCACCACCCTGCAGCCCGCTGCTGCGGGACCAAGTCTCCAGTGAGCTGCACTTGCATTCCCCACAGTCTCCTGCCAGTGCACCTTCCTGAGAAGGGCCCCACCCTCTCTGGTCACAGGCCCAAGTGCCATTTGGGGAGTTTGAAGCCAGAAAGTGCCCCACCCTTGGGCTGGGGCAACTGCAACCCTGTCAGGCTGAGAAGTTGCTACCCAGCCAGAAAAGGACAGGAAAGACCAAGCTCTCCAAACCACACTTAGGACAACACCCATTGCCCCTTTACAAGCAGCTGTGGGACCGGGGACTAGCCTGCTCAATCCATTGCAGTTACCGCTAACACCAGCACACACCACTTGGGTCCTAGTGGGTGGCTCCACCACTGCCACTGCCGTTCCCACATCACACCAGCTGCTCAGGGGCCTGAGAACCACCCACAAACCAGTCCCTCTGCTACAACTACTAGCTTCTGAGCAAGCCAGATGAAGGCCCCAAAGTGGATCCCCCAGGACACACTAACCCCTCTGCCAGGGTAAGCTGCACTGGTGGCTAAAATAAGGCACACTCAGCCCGCTGCTACCACCACTGGGGCCCAAAGACTGGCGCAAGTGGCGTTTGAGTCCCTAGCATAACTTCAGCACAGCCTCAACTAGTAACCGTACCCTAAGCCACCAAGGAAATCACAGATAGCACTGACCCTGTGTACTGCCTACGAACTCATACAAGATCACACTGCTGTAGGCACCAAGAATCAACCAGCAATATATGTACATCCTCAGAGGAAAAAGTTCTCCCCTTTGAAAGCAATTTCAAAAAATCAAACAAGCCACTGCTCCATCAGACGTGCAGATATAAACAAAAGGACACAGGAAATATTTTTAAAAAATCAAGGAAATGTAACACAACTGAACAACCACAACAATTGCCCACCAGCAGGTCCCAATCAAAAAGAATTTATTGTAATGTCAGACAAAGAAATCCAAACACTGATTCTAAGAAAACCCATGAAATGCGAGAGAAATCTGAAAAGCAATACAAAGAAATCAGAAATTCAATTGAGGATATAAATGAAAAATTTACCAAGAATAGATATCCTTTAAAACAGGTATCCTCAAACTACAGCCCGTGGGCCACATGCAGGTGTTTTTGCCCATTTGTTTTTTTACTTCAAAATAAGATATGTGCAGTGTGCATAGGAATTTGTTCATAGTTTTTTTTTTAAACTATAGTCTGGCCCTCCAACGGCCTGAGGGACAGTGAACTGGCCCTCTGTTTAAAAAGTGTGAGGGCCCCTGCTTTAAAAAAATATTCTGGGGGGGACGGCAAGGGCAATATAGGTAACTGAAACATTTGTACCCCCATAATATGCAGAAATAAAAAAAATCTAGAGCAGAAAAATTTATTGAAAAATACACAAAACATATTTGAAAACTTAAACAAACAAACAAAAAACCAGTCACGCCTCAGGGGAATTGAGTTTTGCTCTTAAGCACAAGTAGACGCTCCGCGCTCTGCCGGGCCGCGCTGCACGCCCAGGTGCGCTAAGCGAGGCTCCTCCTCCAGGTGGCGCTTGGGGGCCGTGGTGCAGGAGGGACGTCCTGTCCGCACAGGGATGTCCCCACACCTGTCGCCCTGAGTCCTGGGCAAGTTGGAAGGTCAAGAAGAGAAGACGAGTCCCTGCATCTGCTTTGCTGTCCTCTCCCTGGGTCCCCTCCTCTTCCCACCAATCCCCCAAGAAAGAACAGTGTAGGGTTTTCAATTTAATTTCCCCTAAACTGCATCTGCCCTGCTTTCCTCTGCAGCCTTGCTGCCTGCCTACGGGCTTCCTTACACTGGGGCACACGCAGGGGCCTGGTCACCCTTCCTGTGCTCTGAAGGGCGTAGAAAAATTCGCAGACCCTCTCTCTACTAGGGCCAGGCTGCCCACCTTTTCCGAAAGAGCCCATTCATCCACCTGTCCGCCGTGGGGTCACAGTCAAACAAACAAGATTTTACTGAAAAATGCACTGGTTGAAAAATGAGCAGAGACAGAAAGAGAGAAAGTATCGTGTTTGAAAAACAGAGAGAGAGGGGAAAGATGACCTGTACAGGGTTAGGAAGCAGATCCCTGGGGGAATTAAAGTTGAGAAATTAAATGTCAGGACACGTTGAAATTGGGCGGGACGGCCGGGCCCCACCGTGTCCGGCCGGGACAGGGACCTCCCAGCACAGTGGGCTCAGCCCGTCCCCGGCTCAGAACACGGAGTCGGGAGCCCGGCGGGTCTGCAGCCCCAACCTGAGGCCTGGCCGACCTCGGACACGTTCCTTCGTGTCTCAGTCCCTCGTTTCTACAAGAAAATTGAGGGGAAGAAGAGAACATGCTGTTCAGGGTTTGTACGAGAAGGGAATGTGTTAGTGTTTGAAGAGAACTAGATAGAAATTGCCCCATAGGAAGAGCTGGCTGAGTTTCTGTTGAATTTTTAAAAATATTTTTTCACAGATATAATAATTTATTTTAAAAATACCTGCCTTGTAATAGACATTCAAGTTTCTTTTCTATTTGTTTGTTTATTTATTTTCTGGAGCTTTAGGGGGGTATTTTTTTTAATTGACAAACAATAGCCGTAAATATTATGGGGTAAAATATGATGTTTTGATTTTTTTAATATCTGCAGTTCTGCCCAGGAGGAGTCTCACCAGGAGATGTGCCCATTGAGTCTCCCCATAAGGCTTGTCCTTGGTTTTTTGTTTGTTCTTGGGGGAGGAGGGTGTAAAAAAAAAAAAGAAAGAAATCAAACCAAATGAACATAAATGGGACGCTCTCGCCCCCTAGTGGTTCGTAGGGTAATTTTCTGTTTTAATCGGAATGGGAAAAACATGTCTGACGGTTCAAGTGGGTGGACACACAGACATGTCACGTTTCAGCATTGGGTTCAGAGCTCTCTTGGGACGTGTGGTTGTGCATGTGTGTGTGTGTGTGTATCCTGTGTGTGCACGTGTGTAGCCGTGGGTAGGTGGGTTCGTCTCTCTGCCTTCTTCCAGCCACACCTGCCCTCAGCCCCTCCCTCATTCATCCCATGCACACGCTGGGTCAGGAAACACCGACACCCGCTCCGAGTCCCAAGATGAACAAGTTCTTGAGATCTTATGTCCAGCGTGGGTGGTGATGGATGGATGTGCTAATGAATTTAATCCTGGCAACAATTGCAATGCATGTCTATAGCAAATTATCACAGTGTACACCTTGGATATATACAATCTTGGTCAATTAAATGTAAAAAAGTAAAAACAAAATGCTGACATCTTCTCTGTAGCTCTTGTTTTGCCTACTCAGCTTTGAACAACTGTGAAGGGAGAGACACGGTCCAAGTGACCTCTGCACCCAGGACCTGGCACAGGGCTGCCAGCAGTGGGTCTCTCAAACTATTTATTGATGCACAAATGTGACCTAGATAACTGAACTGAGCTCTCAGCTGCATAAGTAGAGCCAGTTTCAAGGTTAGCAATTAAATTCTAGGAAGGTCTTTAGGGTCAGCTGAGTAGGTGATTAAAATGGAGTCCCTGGGGAAGTTGGGAATTCATAGGAGACACCTGGGAGCAGTTGGGAGCCTGCAACACTGTTCATGAAATCACCTGGATGCCTGTAGCTAGGAATCAAGTGACTGTAGCTGGGGCTCTGGAAAAAGTCAGATGACTGTAGTTGGGTCTTTGGAAACAGCCAGGTAACTGCAGCTGGGGCTCGAAGCAGCCACAACACAGTCTCTCCATGTATCTGGTCAACTGTGGAAGGGACCACTTGGTTAATGAATGTTCTGGATGATGATTAGAGATCTCTAGGCTCCAGCTCTTGTCCCCAGGAGAGCTGACTGGCCGGCTCTCCAGGTCAGGATGAAGACAAGGCAAAGCCCTCCAAATGTCTGCCTTAGACTTCCCAAGAGTGACTTCCTGTGTCATCACATGCAGAGTCAGGTGGGCCTGAGGTTAGTTTCTGATGATGGCTACATACGTGCTGGACTCAGCCACAGGCTCTGTGACCTGTGGGGAGGCAGCGTGGGCTGTCCTCTGAGTGAGGGCCCGGTGGTCCAGCTGAGCATACGTCACCTCCTCGGGGTCCCCTGTGGAACGGGGCTGGAGAGAGAGACCCAGAGTGAGTGAGCACTGGGTGGGGGGAGAGCGAAGGGAGGGGCTGTGGGGATGGATGGGGGACCGAGGCAGCCCCCTCCAAGGGCCCCAGTGCTCCCCCTCCTTAAATCACCCCATTGTGCAGTTCCCTCGCACGTGGCATTAGGGTTGGTTTATTTGACCAACTGAATAAGTGAAGACACTTGACATCCAAGGTGAGGCCACAAACACCAATGTGGATTCTGCCCTTCCCTGTCTTGGAGCCCTTCCTCTAGGGGAAGCCGGTGGCTGTGAAGAGTCCTACGTGACTCCCACCAGCAGATGGGAGACGTTTGGAAGCAGATCCTCCAGCCCAGTGAAGCCATGGTAGACACAGCAACCTCAGGAGAGACCATGGCCAGGCCACCCAGCTAAGCCACTCCCAAATTCCTGAGCCAAGAAAGTGGGACAGTTTTCTTAAGCTGCTAAATGTGGGGTATTTTGTTACACGGCAACTGATAACCAGTATGAAGACTTACTGGGGTGTCCTTCTCTCTCTCCTTCTCAGGAAGCCCATCAACCGTGGCCATACCTGGAGGGGAGAAGACACTTGGTCATTTCTCTGGGGTGGATGTCAGAAGGTAAAACTGCCTGAAACCTCAGAACTTCAGATGTGTGTCATTCTGCACCCAATCTAGAACCTCTTAGAGTTTCCAGACATTCTCCTCCACCCGCTGCATCCTGACTGGTACTGAGCTCCCACTTCCTCTGCCCCCATCTGTCCCTCCTCCCCCTTTACCTGCTTTCCTCTCCAGGACATCAACAGCCTGGCTGAGCCTGAGGGAAAAAACAAACGACCATCAGGGGAGCCTGGGGTTGGGGCACTGGGTGTGGCCCGGGGGTCATTTCCAGGTGTCTCACCTCTGCTGCGGCCTCTGCTCCTCGTCCTTGCTGCTGGGGGGCCCTGAGGACAGTCGGGGCCGAAATAAAGAAGGAAGCAACGCCCCCAAAACCCTCCAAAGCAACCCAACCCCCCCCCGAAAACTAACCCGGTTCCTCCGAACCAAGCCAAGGAAGAAAAAGGCCAAGAAGAAGAAAAAAAAGAAGAAAAACACAAAAAACCCCAAGAAGAAAAAAAACCGCCCCGGTCCCAAGAACCCCAAAAGAAAAGCAACCAAGGAAAAAGGAAAAGGGGTTCCAAAAACAAAAAAAAAATGAACAACCAACGGAAAACAAAAAAAAGCCGCAAGCCCGCCAGGGAAAAAACAAAAAGAAAAAACCCCCAAGGCCATAACAGCCCTGGAACACAGGAATCCTTACCCCATCTCACACAGCAGGGATCTGAGAGCCAAGGAAAACTGCGCACATGGACAGGGCTAGCCATCGGTAGTGCTGGAGCTGGACCAAGCCCAAAGCCCGATCTTCTCCCCCTTCCCCAAGAGGCACATACCAAGCTCTTGCTCTTATGTCCCCAGCACTCACCACCATTGTTACTGTCGTCCAAAGGCCTCTGTGTGCCTCCTGAGAAGGAAGAATACAGAGGAGATGGGATCATAGGCCTGAGAGGCACAGAGAAGGCTCACAGTCCTCCCAGTGCTGACCACAGGGACCTCCATTCACACCCAGGACCTGGCCTGCTCTTTTGAGACCAGAACTGTCTGGTAGAATCTTGCACATCTGCACTGTCCAATGTGGTAGCCACACACAGCCTTTGACATTTGAATTTAATCAAAGTTGAATGAAATGAGAAGCTAGCTGCCTAGCTGCTCTCAAGGGCTCAGTGGCCACACGTGGCCAATGACATCCCTTCTGGACAGCACACATATAGGACATCTCCTTAGCACAGGCAGCTGTGTTGCACGTTGCCACTCCCTGCCCTCTGCAGACCTTTACAGACACCAACCACTGGTGGGAAGAGAAAGAAGAACTTCCTCTCACTGACCACCTTCTGGGTCCCCACCAGGGCACAAGAATACCCATCTCATCCCCAATTTCATTTATTTCTCACAGCAGCCCCCCGATGGGGATGGAAACCGCCCTTCTGTGGGGAGGAAACCAAGTCCCCATGTGCTGTGCTCATGCCGGCTGAAGCCGTGCAGCCAGTCAGCGAGTGCCTGGAGCGCCAGCCGCGACCGGGCGCAGCGCGTTATGTGGCACGTCCGCTGCCTGTGTGAACGTGCACCCTCCTCCCAACACAGGAGTCTCCCCTTCTGGGAGCAGCACCCTCTCCTCTCCCCTGCTCCTGAGGTGCATCCTCAGTATCTTTTTAAAGAAAGTTAGAAAACTTCACTCTCCCAGAGCATCCTTCCATCAACACCGTGTCCATGGTCCAAGATCCGAGATACCACCTGCTATTCTTCAACATCGCTGTCTGTGCTTTCGCTTTGTAACATTTGCCACTATGTAAAGGGAAATATGGCTGACTAGAGACCTCGGTGGCCATGTTGTTCTGGAGGGAAGGAAGGGTGTCAGATAAAGGAGAGGGAGGAATGGGTACGCCTCAGGTGCAGCTCAGGGGGAAGGGTGCCAGAGCCTCCCAGAGATTTCATGGGGACAAATTGCAAAGCAGAACAGGAAGAAAAAAGATATGGGCAGTGATCAACCACAGAGAAGCTCATAGCCTAGTGAGGGGGTAGGTGGGGGTTTCATTTCCCCTTCCCTCACACCTCTGGTACTCAGTGGGCTGCCCAGCTGCTTGGGAGGTTTTCCTCCCTCATGAGCCCAAGGGCCGCTGCAATTACTGAACTGGAAAATAAAGCATCGGGCTGCCAGCCCCTTGAGGGTCACTCCCTGCAGCCACAGCCCTGAGCGGAGACACCAGACGCGACACTGCTTCCCACACATGGCGCCTCTTTCTCCACCACAGGGAGATCCAGCCCTTCAGTTTTCACATCACCTGTTTCCACACAGACATTTCCCAACTCCAGACTGAGGTGGCCCCAGAGAATTTTGTAATGATCACAGTCTTGGACATTCCACGCAGGTCCCAAGGAGTGGAACCAGAAGGGCTAGAGTGCCAACTCTTCTCCATTCAGACTCTTTCTCCTCCGCTCACTGTAGCCAAGAGGGACAATTGAGCCAAGACTCTCAAAATTGGCTGTCGCCTCTCTGCTAATGCACTCACACATCTGAGGTTTCCACAGAAGAGGGGCCTACACCATTCCCCTTGAGGACCTGCAGTCAACCTTGGGGTACTCATTCTGGGAGTCCTCTGCCCACTGGCACTCCCTGGAGACACCTGCTAGTGGGCCAGACATGCAGGCTGGTTCCAGTCCCCCAGGACTACTTGATTGGGTTGCTTGGGGCCACAGAGGGGAGATGTGAGAACTAAACTCGAGAGGCGAGGGTGCCCATGTGGGCAGAACTGACAGGAGAGCACAGTGTGGGTCTGAGCTGCAGCGAATTGGTGGAGCACCCATCCCCCACAGGAAAGCTGCACTTTCAGACTGGGGCAGGTCCCAGGGCAGGGAGTTCCCAACCCATGCTACCACTGCTGGCGAGCTCAGCCAGTTTGGGCTCCCATTTGCAACCAGACATGGGAAGGAAACTCACGACTGATAGCCAGTCAGTGAATTATAGATGGCCCCTTCCCCATAAGCAGACTTTCCAATTTGGCTTCAGTCCCCTTCCCAGCTGCTTTCTTCAGCAGCCCAGGTACTGACGTTTGATACCTGCCCAGACTGTCCTAGGAAATACCTCTGCTGAGCCTGAACTCAGGCTTGCCAGATCCAGCCCAACCCAGCCTCACTCCTCCATCCACCTCTGCTGTGGTGGAGATCAAATAATACCCTGGAAGCTCCAGGCCTCCTTCCACTGCCTGGGGCATTCAGGTGCTTCTCCTGATGGGGCTAGAGCTGGGCACAAGCCCCAGAAAACAACACTGGGGTTGACTCTTTCCTGCAACTATCAATTATTGACACAGAGAAAAACTCTACAACCTGTTACACACCTAGTGACTCAGTCAAACAGGGTGTGGCTGATTCTTACAAGCACTACTCACCACCTCAGATTAAGCTGGAGGTCTCAATACAATTCACACAGCTGTGGGGAGGGGAATACAGCAGAATGGAAGCAGCCTGAGGGGGTGACGCTTTTTAGGAGAGGGATAAAAGTTGGAGGTGGTCTGAGATGTGAGGGTCTCCCTCCTCCACTACAGAATTCTGGTCTGACTGGGAGCTGCTCAGAGTCTGTGCAGAGACATTGCACCAGAGAGTAGGTTCAGCAGAGCTCTGGTGGCTGCCAATCCTGGGTTTCTGCAATACCATCCTGATCGCCCTGGTGCATAGTACCAGGTCTGCTTGGGACTCAGCCTTCCAGCAGTAGCCTTTGCATCAACCCTGCCAGGCAAGGCAGAGAGCAGACAGAACAGACGCTCTTCCATGCCATGCACTGTGACTGGGAGCTGAGTACCCCTCCGATCCTGCTTGGGCTCTAGGAAAGGAGGAGTCTCAGACACCACAGGCAGCACCTAGGAACCTTTAGGTGACTGTCTCAGTGAGGCATAGGTGGGGGGCAGGGGAGAAATGAGCAGACCAGCCCATCTCCATGGTCCCTGGGCTACTGAGACAAACACCTGACTATGTGACTGCCATCAGCAGTCTCCATGCCAGCAGAACAGCCCCCCATCTGTGAGGTACTTCCCTATAATCCCCAGATCCAGCTCTGAGAATTTCACTGTGCCCAACCCTGAGGCTCTGCACCTGTAGGTCCAGAGCCTGCACTGGGCATGCAACACCATCACCAAGACTCCAGAGCAGTGCCAGGTACCCAAGGCCCCATCCCTGAGTCTCCACCACTGCTGTTGGTCTGGTGCAACCTCCCCAATGTCCAAGATTTCAACTGGGACCCTCAGCCTTGAGCAGCTGTTACTTCTGGACCTGGTTCATGCAAATGCCCACAACACAGTCATCCACTGCCTAAATAGACTCACTCAGCTGCCACTGTCATCTCCACTGGGTCGGCACTCCCCCACAATGACAGCCATCATGGAGAGGGTCACATCCAGTGATCAACTTGAAATTCCAACAATGAGCTGGTAAACAATCCTCCACCCCTTGTGAAGGTCATCCAGCACTGGCATGAACTGTGGCAATCACAAGGGAACCAGTCAAAACAAAACAGCTGTACTACAGGTTCTCAGTGCACCCACACTTCCCTTGACAGGCCAACATTCCAGAGTAGAAAACAAAAGCTCCATCTAGGGTGCTATTCTTCCTCTAACTACACAGGAGTGTTCCCAGCAAAGGAGAACAGGTGCCCTGCAATCCTATTAACCCAGAGCTGAGAGAAGAGGAGCCAGATGAGAAGGAACCAACAAAAGAACCTTGGCAACATGAAAAGACAAAACAGTTTGTCACCCCAAAGGGGTCACGATAGATCTACGATAGTGGGATCCACCTACAAGGAAATTGTGAAAATGACAGAAATGGAATTCAGAATACGGATGGCAAATAAGATGAATAGAAATGATGAGAAAGTTAAAAACCAAAAAAATATTTTAAGACATCAATGAAAAATTCACTAAAGAGCTAGCCAATATAAGAAGAATATAATAAAACTTAAAGAAATAAAAGAGTAATTTAAGGAATTTCAAAACACAGCAGAAAGCTTCAACAACAGACTAAATGAAACACAAGGAAGAATCTCAGAGCTTGAACACAGGGTTCTTGAGATAACCAATCATTCAAAGAGGCAGAGAAGAGAATGAAAAAGTGAGCAATCGCTGAGAAAGATATGGGACTATGTGAAGCAAACTAATGAATTATAGGTATCCTTCAGGGAGGAGACAAATGGTCTAAAAGCATGGAAAACCTATTTGAAGGAATTATTGAGGAAAACTTCCCTGGTATCTCTAGAGATTCAGACATCCAGATATAGGATGGTCACCAAACATCAGGAACATTCATAGCAAATAGGACATCTCCAAGACATAGTATTCAACCTAGCCAAAGTCAAAATGAAGGAGAAAATTCTACAAGCAGATAGATGTAAGCAATAATTGACCTACAGGGGGAAACCTATCAGAATAACAGCAGATTTCTCAGCAGAAAACTTACAAGCCAGAAAGGACTGGGCTCCATCTTCAATCTTCTCAATCAGAACCACTGGCAGCCTAAAATTTTGTATCCTGCTAAACTAAGTTTCACAAATGATGGAGAACATAAGTCTTTTCCAGACAAGCAAACACGCAAACACTGAGGTAATTAATTTATCATGACCAGACCTGTCCTACAGGAAATACTCACAACTGCATTATACATGAATCAGCACAATAGGTACCCACCAGTGTAAAACCACCCAAAACCCCCTAAAACTCACAACTCTCCTAAAACAATAGCACAAGAGGGAAAACAAAGCAATAAGGTACTACCAAACATGATCAACAAATCAGCATCCCACATATAAATTCTATCACTCAATGTTAATGGTCATAATTTTCTACTCAAAAGACATAGGCTGACCTAATGGATGAAAAACACAGCCCAAATATCTGCTGTCTCCAAGAAACCACAAAGACGCACACAGTCTCAGTATGAAAGGATGGAAAAATAACGTTCCATGCAAATGGAAATCAAAACAGAGCAGGTGCAGCCATCTCATATCAGATAAAATTGACTTTAAAATCAACAAAGGTAAAGAAATACAAAGATAGTCATTACATAATGGTAAAAGGAGCAATTCAACAAGAAGACTTAACCATCCTAAATATACATGCATCTAACACAGAAGCTCCCATATACATAAAGCAAATTTTACTAGACCTAAGCAGAAAAGGATAGCAACATCTTAACTGAAGGGAGTTCAACAACCAACTCTCAGAGGTGGACAAATAATCAAAGCAGAAAATGGAATTAAACTGGACTCTAAATCAAATGTACCCAACAGACATTTACAGGACATTCTACCCAAAAACTACTGAATATACATTCTTCTCAGCATCACATGGGACATTCACCAAGATTGATCATATCTTGGGACTCAAAATAGGTCTCAACTAATTTTAAAAAATCGAAATCATATGATGTATCTTCTCAGACCACAGTGGCATAAAACTGGAAATCAATCACAAAAGAAACACTCAAACCTACACAAAGTCAGAAATTAAACAACCTGCTGCTGAGTGATTATTGTGTCAATAATGAAATTAAGATGGAAATCAAAAGATTCCTTGAGCTGAATGACAAAGGGGACACAAACTATCACAATCTATGGGCAAAACAATTCCTCAGGGGAAAATTTATAACGTTAAATCCCTACATCAAAAAGACAGAAAGATCACAAATTAACAACCTAATGTCACATTGCAAAGAACTAGAAAAGGAAAAACAAACCGAACCCAAAGCCAGCAGAAGAAAAGAAATAACAAATGTCGGAACACAACTAAATGAAATGGAAAACAAACAAACAAAAACACAAAAGATCAATGAAACAAAACTTGATTCTTAAAAAAAAAAATAATCAAAATTGGCAGACCTCCTGCTAGATTAACCAGTAATAGAGGAGAAAGTACCCAATATGTTCAAGCAGAAATGAAAAAGGAAACATTACAACTGATACCACAGACATGCAAAACATCATCCATGAATACTATGAAAATCTCTATCAAAAGAACTAGAAAAAGTAGAGGAAATAGACAAATTCCTAGAAACACACAATCTTCCAGAGGAAGAAATAGAACTACTGAACAGACCAATACCAAGCAGTGAGATCAAAACAATAGTGAAAAAGACTTCCAAGAAAAAAAAGCAGCCCTGGACCAGACAGATTCACAGCTGAAATCCACTAGACCTACAAAGAAAAGCTGGTACCTATGTTACAGAAATTATTCCAATTATTCCATAATATTGAGAAGAAGGGAATTCTCCCCACAGAATTCTCCCCAACTCATTCTATGAAGCCAGTCTTACCTTAATACCACCGCCAGAAAAGACACAACAGAAAAAGGAAACTACAGACTAATATCCCTTGTGAACATAGATACAAAAATCCTAATAAACCAAATTCAAAAACACATCAAAAATAATTCACACTGACCAAGTGGGCTTCATTCCAGTGATGCAAGGTTGGTTCAACATACATAGATGAATAAATGTCATTCACCACATAAACAGAAGCAAAAACAAAGACCATGTGATCATATCAATAGATACAGAAAAAAACATTTGACAAAATTCATCACACTTTCATGACAAAAACTCTCAACAAACTAGGCATATAAGGAGTATATCTCATAATTTGAAAGCCATATATGACAAACCCACAGCCAACATCATGCTGAATGGCGAAAAGTTGAAGGCATTACCCCTAAGATCTGGTACAAGACAAGTGTGCCCATTCTCACCACTTCTATTCAACATAGTGCTGGAAGTTCTAGACAGAGCAATTAGGCAAGACAAAGAAATAAAGGGTATCCAAATTGGGAAAGAGGAGGTCAAACTATTTCTTTTCACTGACGATATAATCTTATATCCAGAACACCCTAAAGACCCTGCCAAGAGACTCCTAGAATTGATAAATAAATTCAGCAAAGTCTCAGATTACAAAATCAATTTACACAAATCAGTAGCATTTATATATAACAACAGTAAAGCTAAGAGTCAAATCAATGACTCAATGCCATTCACAATAGCTACAAAGAAAATCAAATACATATGAATATACTTAACCAAGGAGGTGAAAGATCTCTACAAGGAGAACTATGAAACACTGAGGAAGGAAATCACAGAGGACACAAACAAATGTAAAAACACATTATGCTTACGGATTGATAAAATCAACATTGTTAAAATGTTCATACTACCCAAAGTGATTTACAGATTCAACAAAATCCTCATCAAAATACCAACATCATATTTCACATATCTAGAAAAAATAATTCTATGCTTCTTCATTTGGAGCCAGAAAAGGGCACAAGTATCCAAAGCAATCTTAAGCAAAAAGAACATAGCTGGAGGCATCACAGACTTCAAGCTTCAAGCTTCAAGCTATACGACAGGGCCATGGTAACCAAAACAGCATGGTATTGGTACAAAAACTGAGAAAGAGACCAATGGAACAGAATAGAGAACCCAGATATAAAAGCATCTACCCACAGCCACAGATCTACAACAAAGCAGACAACACTGCCCACTGGGGAAAAGAAACCCTCTTCAATAGATGGTGCTATGAGAATTACATAGACACATGCAGAAGAATGAACAGTATCCCTATCCCTCACCACTCACAAAAATTCATTCAAGATGGATAAAAGACTCCAATGTAAGGCATGAAACCATAATAATTTCAAAAGAAAATGTATTTCAACACATGAAGGACAATAAAAAAAAAAAAAGAAAATGTAGGAAAAAGTCTTCTAAATATTGGCCTAGACAAAGAATTTATGACTAAGGACCCAATGGCAATTACAGTGACAAGAAAAATAAATAAATGGGATTTGGTTGAATTAAAAGGCTTCTGCACAGCTAAGGACATGATTAAGAGAGCAAATAGACTACCTACAGAATGGGAGAAAATATTTGTAAACTGTACATCCAATAAAGGGCTAATATACAGAATCTATAAAGAACTCAAGCAAATCAGCAAGAGAAATAACAAATAACCCCATTGAAATGGGCAAAAGACAGGAATGAAAGCTTTTCAAAAAGAAGATAGTCAAATGGCCAAGAAACATGAAAAAATTCTCAATGTCACTAATCATCAAGAAAACTCAAATTAAAAACACAATGAGATGTCACCTAACCCCTGTTAGAATGCCTTTTATTAAAAAGTCCAAAAATAATAGTTTCTGGCATGAATGCAGAAAGAAAGGAATGCTTATCCACTGTTGGTGGGACTGCAAATTAGCAAACCACTATAGAAACAGTGTGGAGATTCCTCAAAGAACTGAAAGTAGACTTACAGTTCAATCCAGCAATCCCACTACTGGGTATCTACCCAAAGGAAAAGAAGTCATTTTATCAAAAGGCACCTGCACTCCAGTGTTTATGGCAGCAAAATTCACAAATGCAACGATGTGGAATCAACCCAAGTGCCCATAGATTCATGAGTGGATTGACAAAATATAGTATATGTATTTGAAGGCATGCTTCTCAGCCATATAAAAAGATGAATTAATGCCTTTTGCAATAATTTGGATGGAGCTGGAGACCATTATCCAAAGTGAAGTATCACAAGAATGGAAAAGCAAACACTACATGCACTCTCTATTAAACTGGAACGAACCAATGGGCACAAGTGTGCACAGAGGGAAGTAAACCTCATTGGAAATCAAGCAGGGGGGAAGAGAGGAGGGGAGGGCCTAAAACTTACCTAAAGGGTAAAATAAACACTATTCAAGGAATGGGCACACTTATAGCTGTGATTCAAGCATTAAAACAGTGATCCATGTTACAAAAAGGTTTCTACCCACTTTAATATTCTGAAATAAACAAACAAAACACAGTGGCTGAGTATCGCCATCCCTCCATCCCAGACAATGTCCTGAGACTACTGAGAAAACAGGGCAGTGGGACAGGATTCATGGGCGAGCCCACCCGCTCCAGCCATTCTGCTGCAGGCTGGTCAGTCCTTCTGCTCCTCCAGCCACTGTGCTCTGTTTGACCTCATGGAACCATCACAGAGCAGCTCCTTTGAGGCCTTGGGAGGACATGGAGGTTGACGGGACCCTCCTCACTGGACCCCAACTCCAGAACATCTCTGGGGCTGACCACATACAGAAGCACGAATGGTTCTCAACACAAAGATTCCCCCAAATACTGTCCAGTCCTGGTCTGAGGCCATCACAGGACCTGTGACCTGCCCAGTGGGCGATGGACCACAGCAGAGGGGGAACATGGCCTGGGGACACCACAGGTTCTGGCTGAGTTGAAAGGAAAAGGGAGCAGGACTATCCTCAGTGAAAGACATTGGTTCCCTAGAAGGGGGTCTTCCCCCACCCAATCCCCGGGAACCCACTCTCCACCCAGCCCAGCAGGGCCTGCTCTGTGCCCACCCAATGCTGGGGCTATGTGTCCAGTCCTTCTCTGGTGTTCAGATGAGACCAGGCCTCCAGGGATCTAAGATGGTGGGAAGGCAGACAGGACGTGTGTGCAGAGTGGGCAGGAGGGGAGGGCTTGGGGTCAGGAGGAGGGCAGGGGAGTCTATGGGAAGAGGCCGGCAGCTGGGACAGGCCCAAGGACCTGGGGACAAACCCAAGGGCAGAGCTGAGACTGGCGCAGGGGCTGGTGACATTCTCACCTGTCACCACCAGCTCCAGGATGTCACTCCGTTCAGACCACTCGCCGGACGGCTTATGATAGAGGCAGTGATAATGCACAACAGTGACTTCACTAAATGCCTCAATGGAGAATCTGGCCTCTGTCTCAGATGCACCAGATTGAAGCACAATATCAACATGCTTGAATGAATGGGTTTTATTCTTGCTCTCCAGGCGGAACGTCTGAGCCCCAGCAGGTCCCCGGCACACCACAGTCACGGGCTGTCCCCGGGGAATCACAGAGTTTGGCTCAGCCGAGATGGAGGGTTTGGGCAGGGTCCCTAGGAGGGAAGAAGAGCAGGGTCTCAGTGTCCATTTGGAGGAAATCATCATCCACATAATTCATCTTGGTCACAATTCAATGTTTTTTGCAAATCTGCAGAGTTGTGCAACCATGATCACAATCCAACTTTAGAGTATTTCTGCCTCTCCGGCCCATCTGCATGCATTTGAATTCACATCACTGCAGAGTTATTTTCTGCACTTAACAATAAGGACCTCAAGACTCAGTCACACCTTGGGCCTTGCTCAGGGTCACCTGAGAAGTGTCAGAGCAGCCGGGGGCCCAGGCATGTCTGCTGCAGAGTCGGGCTCCAGCCCTGTTGTGGGGCGTGGGGACAGGATGAGGATGACATGACCAGGTTGTTGTGAGGGACAGGGAAGTAAGGATTCTGGAGATGACTTGAGATGGGGCCTGCAGGGCAACTGGCCAGTCCCCAGGAGGGACTGTGTAAGGGGTAGGGGTGGGGAGATTACAAAGCTCTTATGAGAGTCTGGGGGGGGGGAGGGTGAAGCGCCCAGCACAGATCTGCTCACAGCAGATGCCCAGCTGATGACAGTTCCCATTTCTAATGTAAGTCTTCTGTTCAGCAACCACCTCTGGGTTTCCTCTATGCTGTCTGCTTTCATCTCAGCCTAATTTCCATGTCCTTGTTATTACGTTGCTTGAGAACCCCCATTTGTCTCATCTTGGCCAGAGGTGGAGGAGGAAGTGTAGGTTTGAAGGAAACAGGAAGGTTGTGTCAAATTTAGCAAAATTCCTAGTAAAGGCAGGGAGGTGGCAGGGGTTCAATTCACTCATCCACTGTTTTTTTTCATTGACAACTAAAAATTATACATATTTATGCTATACAGCATGATGTTTTGATATAGGTATACATTGTACAAATAACTAAATCAAGCTAATTAACATATGCATTACTTCACATACTTATTTTTTTGTGGTGAGGGCATTTAAAATCTGCCCTCTTAGCAATTTTCAAGTATACAATACACTGAAATTAACTATAGTCATCATATTGCACTCCTGAACTTATTCCTCCTGTCTAACTGAAATTTTTTTATCCGTTGACCAACATCTCCTCAACCACCTCCATTTGTTCATTCTTCCATTCAACCACATCTTAGTTCCTTATCTATCCGTTTAGAGATGCCTTGTGAATGTTGTCACCTTGTGAATGTTGGTCCAGGGATACAAAGTTTCAGTTAGACAAGAGAAATAAGTTCAGGAGAACTATTGTATACCATGATAGCCATAGTTAATAACAATGTATTGTAGTCTTGATATTGCTAACTCATAGAACAAATTTTAAGTGTTCTCAGTACACACACAAAAATGATAAGTATGTGAAGTAATGAATATGTTAATTAGCTCAATTTAGCCATCCCACAATGTGTACATATTTCAAAACATCACATCATCCACAATCAATTTATACAGTTTTATGTGTCCTTTTTAAGAATGAATTAAGTAATTTTAAAAAATCAGTGTGTGAGAAGGCTCAGCATTGAGCATAATAAGGTGAGTTTGAGAAAATGAAAGAAAGTTGAGGTACCTAGAGATACGTGAGCCAGTTGGCCTGGGCACAGGATGTGGCTGGAACATGCCTGTGCTTGTACCAAAGGGAAATGCTTAGGTTTGATTCTATCTAAAGATAAAAAGTAGAAGGGCTTTGAGGAAAAATAATATTTTGCTTTAAAATAAAATATTAAGTGAAAAAATTTGAAAAACATTTTTAAAAAAATTGCAGAAAGTGTTATGGTCATATTTGTGATTTTGCAACGCAAATGACAATCTCCCTGGTGCCAAGAAGGGAGTGGGCAGCAGTGGAGTGGCCAGGCTGAGGCAGACCCAAGCTTGGAGGGGAGTCCGGAGAAGTATATGCAAGGGGAAAGGCAGGAAAAATTTAGGGGGACATCAACCTTGGGTGATATATTGCATACAGGAAGATGGAGACGATGGGATTGAGGGTGAATTCTCAGGTTCTGCCCAAGTTACTGTCATATTTCCTGCCAAGGAGCTGCTGAGTGAGGTCTGTGTTTATGTGAAGAAAACTCAGGGAGGGTTTATGTGGATTACACTGGATTTGAATTGTCTTTGTGGAAATCAGTGTGTCTAAGAGGTATCTGCACTGCCATGTTCATTGCAGGCTTACTCACAACAGCCAAGATATGGAATCAGTCTAGGTGTCCATCAATGGTATGAACAGATAAAGAAAATGTGGTATACACGATGGAATACTGTGTAGCCTTAAAAACGAAGGAAAATTCCATCATTTGCAACAACATAGATGAACTGAACGTTGTGCTAAGTGGAATAAGCCAGGCACAGAAAGATAAATACCGCATGATCTCCTTTATATGAAGAATCTAAAAAAGTTGAGCCCACGGAAGTAGAGAGCAGAACCCTGGTTATCAGAGGCTGGGATTGTGAGTCATGGGAAAGATATTGGTCAAAGGATACTAAGTTTCAGTTGGACAGGATGAATGAGTTTTCAAGATCAATCATACAGTAAGATGACTGCAGTTGAAAATAATTGACTGTATCTTTCAAAGATGCTTTAAAAATAAAAGTAGATTTTAAATGTTCCTACCACACACAAAAAAATGCTAAGTATGGGAGGGGATGGATATGTTACTTAGCCTTATTTAGTCATTCTACAATGTAAACATATATCAAAATATCATGTTGTACTCCATAAACAAACATAATTATTATTTGTCAATTGAAAGTAACATTTTAAAAAATAAGAAAAACAAAAGAAGACAGGAGAAGAACTGTGTGACAGTTACACATTTGCGGTTGTTTGCCATTCGGGGCGTATTTAAGGGTTTCCCTCCAGGCCCTCCCAGAATGAACACCACTCCCATCCAGAGCTGCCCTTGGGTGCAGAGGGGACCAGGAAGACGTGACTCACCTGCCTGTGTGTGGATCGTGCAGCCCAGGCAGAGCACTGCAAGAGAAGCCCCAGTGAGAACAGCACCCCATGCCCAGGCCCCTGCTTCAGGACTGAGTCTTCTGTGGTCAGACCTAGGCCCAGGGAAGACCCACGGGGCAGCCTGGCATGTGGCACTTTCCTCCCCCAGGGCCCCAGAATCTGCTGGACTGGGGTCAGGCCTGAGCAGGGAACTTCCCTAAGCCGCCCCCTCCCCTCTCTTCCAAACCCTCTCCCCTCCCCCCTTCCAGGACTCACCTAGGCCCAGGAGGGTAGTCGGGTGGGAAGACATGGCCCAGACCCAGCAGTGTGGCCTGGAGCCCCGGGGAGGAAGGACAGACTCTGCAGCACACACGGGGACAGGATGTGTTGTCCAGGACCTCTGGTCGGAGGTTTCCACATCAACCGCCTCACACAAAGGGGAAGAGCTCGCTCTCCTGTTCTTCCCACTAATGAGCCAAGAGGAAGGGCCTTGGTTTCTGAAAAATGTTGCTTACCAACATGCTCACATGAGGATGAACCCATTGCCTGACGTGTCAACCTCGTTCTAAGGGACAAGGCAGAATAAAGGCTGCGTGACAGACTGACGGACATCAGCCCAAGTTCATAAAGTCACGACCCTCAGTTCTCGGGCAAAGCAGGACAGCACTTGAAGCCAAGTTTCCTTGTTTGTAAAATGGGAGACAAAAAAAATCCTCCCCTGAGTTTTTAATATTATAATCTTTGCTAAAATCCCAAGATATGTAACACATTTAAAAACATTCAACTCTGGATATTATTTTTTAAAAGACAAGTGTTGGTGAAGATGTGGAGAAATTGGATCTCTTATATACTATTAGTGGGAATGTAAATTAGTACAACCAACATGGAAAACAATACAGAGGTTCCTCCCAAACTGAAAAATAGAACTACCATATGATCCAACAATCCCACTTCTGGGTATGTGGAGGAAACAAAATCAGTATGTCAAAGAGATGTCTGGCAAGGACTTCTTGAGTCATCTCTCCAAAGCACAGGCAACCAAAGCAAAATCAGACAAATGCCATCACATCGAGCTAAAAAGCTTCTGCACAAGAAAGGAAACAATCAACAAAGAAACAGCACACAGAAAGGGAGAAAATATTTGAAAAATACCAATCTGACAAGGAATTAATAACTCGAGTAAATAAGGAGCTCCAACAACTCAATACGAAAAAAAAAAACAAATAACCCAATTAAAAATGAAGACATACAAATGGACAACTAGTATATGAAAATATGCTCAACATCATTAGTCAGAAGACAAATGTGAATCAAAAATTCAATGAGATATCATATCCCCCCAGTTAAAATGTCTTTTATCAACAAGGCAATAACGAAAGCTTGTGAGGATGTAGAGAAAGGGGAACCCTCATGGGAAAGTAAATTAGTGCAACCACTGTGGAAAACAGTATGAAGGTTCTCAGAAAACTAAAAATAGAACTACCATCAGCCCCAGCAAACCACTGCTGGGCATACCAGAGCTGTGTGCAAAGTCTCCAGCCATGTAATATGTTCTCGTTACATTAACAATGGCTGGGACTTTCCAGACTTTTCAGAAAATATAAAATATATATTCTACCAACATGAATTTTCTTCCTCTCATCTTTTCCCAGTGTCATTTGGTGGCCCAACAGCATATGCAAAATCCTAAAGTAATTGAATGTCCTTGGGACCTGGCCCTGGGGTGTGGGGCCATATGGCGTCCAGATGGGTTTTGGAAGAAAAAGCAGGACCGGAAGGGCAATGCATTTGTGCACCATGGAGATGAGTAGGACAGCACCACCCCTCCACCATGGATTCTCCTGTCCACTGCTTCTGAGGGCAGGGAGAGCTACTTTCTCCCAAAGCCACTCTGGCAGACATCAATGATGTCCACACAGCAGCCATTGCTCACTTCCTCCTTACTAATGGAACCCTAGTTCTGTTCGAGTGGCTGTGTTCCAGGGAGCCCAGGGAGCAAGTGGGGGAAGAAATGAAGTTTGGTTTAAGGCAATTTTGGCAATCCCATTTTAAGCACAGTGATTGATTCAGAGGAAGGCACACGACCAAGTATGGCCAATGATACGTAAAGCAGAATATACCAGGTTTCTGAGAGTCATATTTCCCTCTTAATAAAAGAGCATTTAATTAAAAGAACTTTGCCTTCCTCTACTCCTTTCGTTAGCAACTCTATCATGATGATGTGACACATGGAGTTGCAGCAGCCATCTTGCAACCATTAGGCAATAAGATAAAACGCTGCAGCCAAACCACTGAACAAATTGGGGTGTAAGAACATAAGAACTAGGGTCCTTAGAAGGTCCCTGAGTTGCCAGACCAACCCTGGGACTGCCTACCCCTGGAGTTTTTAATAATCAAATAATAAATGTCAAATAATAGGTTTTCAAAATAATCAAATAATAGGTTTTCTGTCAATATGTCAGACTAAGTCCATAGAACAACAGTCGATCTTAAAAGAAAATATGCCAACTGAAATTGCTTAATATAATATCTTAATGATCTTAAGTGCCTCAAAAAGTGAAAACTAAGTGAAGATCACACGGTCAAAAATTAAAGGAAGATGGGATCCCCAGAGACAAGCTGGACACTGAACCTGGCTCTCACCTTGACAGTGATGAACTGAGCTTTATTTTCATGGCTTTGCAAATTGTAAGGGCAGGAGGATAACATCCAGGGGTCAACCCAGTAAGAAGTCTATAGAGACTTTTCCTTTATTTATCCAGGTCCCAAAAGTTTCCCCTTTATAGCAAGAATAAATTCAAATCACTCACCAATTTTGGAGGTTGGCAGGGAATACTACATTTGTTTTAAAACTTAGCATTAGGTCGGGCGCGGTGGCTCACGCCTGTAATCCTAGCACTCTGGGAGGCCGAGGTGGGAGGATTGCTCAAGATCAGGAGTTCGAAACCAGCTTGAGCAAGAGTGAGACCCCATCTCTACTAAAAATAGAAAGAAATTAATTGGCCAACTAAAAGTATATAGAAAAAATTAGGCAGGCATGGTGGCGTATGCCTGTAGTCCCAGCTACTTGGGAGGCGGAGGCAGGAGGATTGCTTGAGCCCAGGAGTTTGAGGTTGCTGTGAGCTAGGCTGATGCCATGACACTCGCTCTAGCCTGGGCAACAAAGTGAGACTCTGTCTCAAAAAAACAAAACAAAACAAAAACTTAGCATTAAAAAGGAGGCAAAAACAAAACAAAACAAAAACAGTTGCTCCTGAAAAGGGCTACTCTGCTTCTCAACTCTTCTTTCACTTGATAATGGTTTCTATGCACTAGATTCTCCCCCCTGCCTCTTTTTCTTTTTCAGGACTTCATTGGTGATTTTTGATCACCTTTATCAAGGAGTCATTTACAAACAACAAACTGCATCCATTGATCATGTGCAATTCAATGAATTCTGGTAGTTGTGTAACCACCATCATATCCAAGATTGTCATCATCACCAAAAGAAGCCTTGTGCTCCCTTTACCCTCAGGCAGCCACCGATCTTTGTTTTCAAACATTTCACTAACATTTTAAAAACAAACTTCTTACCTGGGAATAATTTTAGATTTGCAGAAAAGTAGCAAAGATGCAGAGAGGTCCCTTATGCCCTTCATCCAGGTTCCCCTAACATCCACTTTTACACAACCATGGCACAGCTGTCAAAACTGAGAGATTATAACACCGGGACAATAATTGACAGGTTTTATTTGGATTTCATCAGTTTTTCCACTCATGTTCTTTTCCTTTGCCAGGATCCAACTCAGGGTACCATACTGCATTTAGTTCCCTCCTTGTTAACAACATGCAAGAGTTCCTGTCTTCCTGCTGGATCCTGATTAATATTCCCATCATGCCTGAATAGCATATGCCCCGGGAGGATGTGGGGGGAGCAGTGTGCTGACCACTTAGGAGGAAAGAAATGGCTGGCGTCAACATCTATCGGTTTTGCCACATACTAAAGTCATAGGACCCACAGGGCGGTTGCTCTGGGGTTTCCCTTAAGGAGGTAAGCAGAGCTGTCATCACTCAGCATTCTCAGAAGGTCTCTTTACCTTCACATTCCTCTAGGACTTTGATCCCCGATTCGGGAATATTTATGTCCAAAGCTAGCTACAAGGTTGTAGCACATCTTCCTCAAACGAAAATGTTATTTGGAGTGTTGCACAGGCATTCAATAATGATTCTCTTAATGGATTCAGATACTTACACAATATTTGCAAATTAAATACCAATTGAATGTCAGGTGGAAAGACAACAGCTACATAAATAAAATTACAAGAGATGCAACATGAAATGTTATTAAAAGAAGGGTTTGTATCAGAATTGTCCAAATATTTCAAAAATATTCCAGCATGGTCACTGCGTTGCTGACCAGTCCTCCTCCTGGGATGTGATCACCATAGTGATGTCCAGTTCAGGCCTTACGGACAGACGGGGGAACTCGAGCTAAATCCTGGTCCTCAGAGAGCTCTGCAGGCTGCAGCGCTGAGTCTTTCTTTTCCTGTCCATAATACCTAACCTGATCTGATCGCAAGACCCCATTTTCTGAGCATCTCTGGCTTGGCTCAGCCAAAGGGGACTGTCTACAGAATTTGAGTCTAGAATGCCGAGAGCTCCTCACTTCTTGCTGTTTTGAGTACACTTGACTGCAAGGCCCTCCCCAAGCCATGCACATTAGCTCATGCCTCAGTGCTCCACACTTGCTCCCTGGGAGAATCCTTTGTGTTCATCCAAAAAAGCAACCCAGGAGTGGTGTGGTGGCAGGGACTTACCCACTTGCATCAAGATCTTCTGGCCCTGTTGGAACCCTGGAAGAAAGACCTCACGGCTGATAATCCATCTCCACGTGAATCTCAAGCTTCTGGTGACTTTGCGTTGTCTTGAATATCAGCCTTAGCAGCCTGGCCTGGGCTCTTTGATCTCGGCTTCCCACGGGCTCCCACTTCCAGCCTGCACTGTGGAGAGGCCAGCTATTTGGGACAGGATTGTCCACCATAGCCCCCTCCTCCCTTTCCTTCCAGGATTTACCAAAGCATAACAGGCGATGAATGTGGGGGACACAAAATACCTCTGCTGTACTGGAGGCAGGAGTTGAGCAAAATGTAAGAACACACAGGAAGTGGTAGGCTGGGTGTTGATGTGACAGTACGGTTAGTTTATGAGCTGGAACCATATGCAGAGAAATACACAGCTTCTTCTTACCCTGTGTAAGGCTCCAATTTTCCCCAAATTGGGGCTGAGGAAGAAATACAAATTCCTGAAATTTTGTCTGTAGGAGACCTAAGTTGATATTAGACAAGCTTCATCCCCTAATTAGTACCTGAGAAGAATCACATCTCTGCCCCAATCCTCCTACCCAAAGCAGGCATGATTTGGCTTTATCAAATGCAAAACTCATATGAAAGCTATGGTGTATTTACACCAGAGAAATTGGCAAGTGCTACACATCAGGCATCTTTAAGAGAGTTGACTGTGGCCGAGCATGGTGACTCAGGCCTGTAATCCTAGCACTCTGGGAGGCCGAGGTGGATGGATCGCTCAAGGTCAGGAGTTCGAAATCAGCCTGAGCAAGAGTGAGACTCCGTCTCTACTAAAAATAGAAAGAAATTAATTGGCCAATTAAAAATATATAGAAAAAAATTAGCCGGGCATGGTGGCACATGCCTGTAGTCCCAGCTACTTGGGAGGCTGAGGCAGGAGGATCACTTGAGCCCAGGAGTTTGAGGTTGCTGTGAGCTAGGCTGACACCACAGCACTCACTCCAGCCTGGGCAACAAAGTGAGACTCTGTCTCAAAAAAAAAAAAAAAGAGAGAGACTTGATTGTTAAACCTTTACCGCACATTACTGGTAAATTTCCAAAGCCCAATTAAAAGAAAATTGAACACAATATTTTAAAAACTTACTATGAAATCCACATCCACCAGGAAAATCAGAGAATTGATAAAACTATCTTTATTTCTGCAGTGGACTCCATCCTGTCTTCCCTCCTCCCTCATCTAAAGTAACCAACACCCAAAATTGTGTTCATATTTCCCTTGCATTTTTGTAAATGTGGTGTTATCTCTATACATCTATTTATGTGTGTTTTTATATATAGACTTTGTCATTTTTAACTTTATTACAAAATATAGCTTTCAAAACAATTTTTGGAATCTCACCAATATATACTAAACCTATGTCTTATTTATTCATTAATGATGAAATCATCATTCAAAAATCTATATCTTTAGCCAAATCTTCATCTTTTCCTATTGATCTTCATTTCTTTGTTTCTACAGGGATTATTTTCCTTTTGCCTAAACCTGGTATTCTTTTGGTATCCACCTGCGGGTGATGAATACCACGTCTCTATTTCACCTCCAATTTTGAGGGATTTCTGTTGTTCTAGAATAATAGGTTGGCAGCTATTTTCTCTCAGCACCTTAAATATGCTATTCCTTTGTTGTTGGAATAATCAAAATTAATGATTTCTGCTGTGGATAAGTTGCAAACCTTATTGTTGCTCCTTTAGGGAAAAAATGTGTCATTTTTGTTTTAGTGCTTTTAAGGTTTTATCTTTGTGTTTCAGCAGTTTTGCTATGATGTGTTTTAGGGGGTGGGGGTGGGGGGTGTCTACTTATACTGAAGCATGATAGACATTTGATAAGTGCACTTATCAAATGCACAGCTTGATGAACTTTCACAAACTGAGCACCCCCATGTCACCACCACCCTGATCAATAAACATGAGTCCATATTATTATTCTGTTTTCCAGTATCTTCCCTCCAACAGTAATAACCATCCTGACTTCTAACAGCATGGATTAAATTTGCTTGTTTTGGTTTTCTACTTAGATGTGAAAATCCTCTCTGCTCTCTTAGTGTGTGTCTGGCTTCTTCTGCTCAACCAAATGTTCGTATGATGTATCCACAATAACGCCTGAAGTTGTAGACCATCGATCCTTGTTGCCCCCTATAGTGACCTATTGTGTGAATAATCACAATAGGTTGAACCGTGCTAGTGTTAATAGGCATTTGTGTAGTTCCTAGTTTAGGCTACTATGAATAGTAGTTTTGAATATTTTAATACATGTCAACTGGTGATCGTACATGTGCATTTCTATTGGTGGAAGCCTAGTAAATGCTGTGTTTCATGATATGCGTTTGTTCAACTTCAGTCAATACTGCCGGGCATTTTTCAAAGTGATTTTTATGAATTTGTGCTCCAACTAAGTGGAGTGCTCTGACTGTTGTACATCCTCACCGCCTCTTCAGGTTTTCTGCCTTTTTCATTTTAGCCACGCTGTTGTGTGTAGTGGTATCTGGTTTTAATTTTTGTTTCTTTGATGGCAAATGACACTGAGAGCATGTTCCTAAGGTTTTTGTCATTTGTGTATACTTTTTATTTTTGTGAAATGTCTATTCAAGTCTTTCTCATCTCATCATTTTAAAAAATTGGTTGATTCTCTTTCTTTATTAAGTAGGAAGAAGTTTTCTCTTTTATTCTTACTATGCATATGAGTTCTCTGTCTGGTAGATGCAGCGTGAGCATCTTTCCGATTCTGGTGAGTTTTCAGTCTTTTATTGGTGTATTTTGAAGAATAGAATTTCTGAATCCTGTTATAGTCCAATTTATCTATATTTTATTTTATATTTAGTGCTTTTTGTGTCCTGATTGAAAAATGCCTGGCTTCTGCAAAATGTAAAAGTTTTCCTGTGCATTTCTTCCAATATGATATATATTCTTTTAGGAGCAGTAGGCTCCCAACTGTGTGATCAATGGACATCTCTAGAAGGAAATTAGAGAAAGGGGAGGAGGGAACAGGCAGGATTTTCTCTAAACTTCGATCTAACATCAACAACCAATTTAAAACATTAAAAGAACCCCAGAATATCAAAGAAAGAAGCTGATGAAACCAACATCTAATATGAAAACCAGAACACTAGCAATACCTGCAGCTACCTGTATGCTTACCCCATCCTGCCCTGTGATACAGCCACAAACCCAAGCTGTGTGCGTCATGTGTAGCTTTTATACATACATGTTTATATGTTATATGTATGTATATGTAGTTTACACATATCTATATTCATATAAATTTTGTGTGCCTATGCTTTTCTAAAGTTAAAAAAGTTAAAGCATGTAATTGTTTTTAATATTATAGAAAAGATATATTATTTGGGGATCTTGCTTCTTAACACTACATTGCTAAAATGCATCAATATTTTGTCTAGCTCCAGTTAATTCCTTTTTTCAAGCATAAATAACCAGAAGAACTAGTTAATTCCTTTTTGACTGCTGTGCAGCAGTCCCCAACCTTTTTGGCATCAGGGACCAGTTTCATGAAAGACAATTTTTCTATGGACTGGGGGTGGGCGCTGGTTTGGGGGTGATTCAAGTGCATTACATTTATTGTGCACTTAATTTCTATTATTATTACAATGTAATATATAATGAAATAATTATACAACTCACCATAATGCAGAGTCAGTGGGAACCCTGAGCTTGTTTTCCTACAACTAGACGGTCCCATCTGGGGGTGATGGGAGACAGTAGCTTTATTATGGTCTCTGTGCAATCATACCTCCCTGCTAATGATAATCTGCTTTTGCAACTGCTCAAATACAGAGCTGATCACCACCTCGGCTCCACTTCAAACCATCAGGCATTAGATTCTCATTCGGAGTGCACAACCTAGATCCTTTGCATGCACAGTTTACAGAAGGGTTCGTGCTCCTCTGAGAATCTAATGCCACCGCTGATCTTACAGGAGGCAGAGCTCAGACAGTGATGTGAGTGATGTGGAGTGACTGTAAATACAGATGAAGCTTTGCTCTCCCACCTGCCACTGACCACCTGCTGTGCAGCCTGGTTTCTAACAACCACCGACCAGCACCAGTCCACGGCCCAGAGGTCGGGGACCACAGCTGTATAGTATCCAGCTGAATGAATATGCCACACTTGTATTTACACATTCTGTTAGTGGAGGTTGTTTGAGTTGTTTGTAGGTGTCTCTATTTTTAACCTGAACAAGAGTTTCTCATGGGCGCATACACAATGGTATAATGGAAGGGTCGTAGGACATGTTAATGTTCAACCTGACCAAAGAGATTTTGAACAATATAAATTCCCACAAGCTTTGGGTAAGATACTCTGATAAGCCACTTCCTCTATAATTTGGTAGTGTGAAGCTTCTTCATTTTTGCCCCCAACCACCTAATATGTTTATACCCCAGAATGCCAGAGATATGGAAATTATATTTAAAATAAGACTCTTACCCTGCCAGGTACATTGTGCCAATGCTGAAATTTAAATATGTATAACTATAAGGAATTCTCTTCTAATATACAGGCAAGCTTTTTTAAAAAAGAATCATTCACTGCAAAAACACCTTGGAGTGTTGTGATGTAGACAAATGTATTTCTAGTTTATTGAATAAGAAATGCTGTTCAGAAATCTCAGGGTCTTGATAATGAGTGTTGGAAGAGAAACTATAAAGGAAACTTGATTGAATCATGAAGGCTTTACTGGTAAAGCCAGAAGGAACTTGTATTTGCATATTTTTGTTCGAATGTGTATGAAAATGTGTGATAATACCACAAAAAATGCTACAGTGGTTTCTATTTTGAAAGGAACTACAAGTTATTTGTATTAAACTATTTTAAAACCAATAATTTTTTACCCTTACGCCTAAACTTCAAAAGAGTAATTTAACTTTGGTATAATAAGAATCATTCATAAGCCAAGGCATAGACTGAATTGAGAGCTTGGGCATTCTGGGAAAAGGGTGGTAATTTAAATATTTTCTACAAGGAAACCACTGGTTCTAAAAAGGACAGAGTAAAAATAACTACCCACCTTTTTGGTAAAGAATCCATTATTAATATCATTATAAAAAATGATTTATGGCCGGGCGCGGTGGCTCACACCTGTAATCCTAGCACTCTGGGAGGCTGAGGCGGGCGGATTGCTCGAGGTCAGGAGTTCGAAACCAGCCTGAGCAAGACCCCATCTCTACTATAAATAGAAAGAAATTAATTGGCCAACTAATATATATATATAAAATTAGCCGGGCATG